CCAAAACCAACGGCCAAAAGCTGATAGAGAGTAGATTTAGGTTGGACATCAGAAAAAACTTCTTCACAGTTAGGGTTGCCAGAATCTGGAACAGGCTTCCGAAGGAGGTTGAGGGGGTCTTCAAGAGGAGACTGGACTGGACTGGACGAGCACCTGGCTGGGGTCACATGACCCCAACACTTTTTCCTGTCACTGGCAGGGGGTTGGACTTGATGATCCTTTGAGGTCCCTTCTGACCCCAGCATCTATGAGTCTCATAATGAAAATTTCTAACTTCAGAGAGATGCATATAAATTCTATTGGTGTCCCCAGGAGCTGTGGGTGTGTCCCTACAGTGAGGATTTGGGCAGCTGGAAACAAGTACCATAAGAAGTAATTGTTGAGATACTTATTAAGAATAATCTATTATTCAAACAGGAAAAAGAACAGGTCTAAAAGTCAAACAAAAAAATTAACAACATTTTCATTCTTAAAAAAAAAACCCCAACAATAACAACAAAAACGTCAACATTTTGATTACAGGATTCAAGCAGGAAATGTTCAAGTCCCTTTTCCCCTCACCTGTGAGCCAACTGGTTTAAGCTAAAACCAAATGAATGATCAAAACCAACTGTTTTCATTTAATTACACTTGTTGGAGGATTCAGTGTTGAGGCTTATATTCCAAGACATGTTTCTTAAATTCAATTGCTCAATGAACTTGTCTACCATAGTGGTGTAAATGTGCATCTGAGAACAGTCAACATTAAGGATGTTGGTGTACTTTTCAGGCTATTCAGCAATACCTTCTTGTAAAAGCACAGAGCATAGGAATGACACCAATCAACACTGCCTGTGAATCCAGTCCGTCAAACATACTGAGAGAAAGATAATATCAATCCAAGTGTAGCCAATATACATTGGTCTGTTGTGCTACAGCATGCTTATCAGGATAGGACACCAGACAGGTGGTCTGAAGGAAAAAATAGGGATGATAATCAGGAAAAGCATGACAAATAAGAGAAAGAAGGAAAACCAATATCCTTTGAGCACCTGAGTCCTTGAAGAGAAAGTAAAATACATACATTGAGCCAGATGTGAACAGATCTTTTTAGCAGCAGGTGAAGGCTTTCATTACATACCATTTTCCAATGCCTGATCTTTTATCAGCTAGATCTAGATCTAGATCTAGATAGATAGATACTTTTAGCCCCAGTACCTGGCTAGGATCCAATAACCCTTCTTAACTCTCATTCCTTTTGAATTCATCTCAACATTTGTTCCAAATTGACCTGAACTAGGAAGTAGTTAACAAGTTTGAAAAGTGCTGATCTTCTCCCATTCAAAATCAGTCTTTCTCCCAGAGGAGACCTGCAGAGAGCCAATTAGGCAGGCTAAACAAACACACCTAATAAATGCCATGTGAACTGTGTTAAATGGACAGATCTGTGGTCAGACCTTGCCTACTAATCTTTCTTTGTGTTGGTAATTGCCCAAAGAGCAATAAAAACTCTAAAACCTACGGATTTAATGGCAACAGATAAGTCTGATGGATGATTAACATTTCCTGGCCCTTTGCAGCCTGTAAAGTGCAGAGAGCCATGTTTCCATTCCAGTCCCAGCACTTTTTATAACAGAAAGACAACAATTGCCTTGTATCATTTTCTTCATAGACAGAACTCCCAAAAAGTGAACGTTACCCCTTTTTATAGGAAAATAAACCAGAACCGAATGAGCAACAGTGGAGAGTTTTACTTTTCTAGTAAACCATTTAGTTCCGAATCATTCTCTAGTACTGTCCCTACTTCTTTGAAGCATTTGGTCTCAGTCACTGAATCAGTAAAGGTCACCAAATAGGTAACAATAATAGATTTATCAGGAACAAAAAAACTCTCATCCAATCACCCTAACTAGTTAGCAATAACAAGACCCCATTTAGGACTCAAGTCCCTCTCTAAAGAGAGAACTGATTCAGAAAAGTATCCCTTTTTGGGACAGTACTTAAAACAGGTTGTTGAATTTAAGTGTGTGCTTAAGATCCAGTTAAGTCAATAGGACTTATACACCACACTTAAAGGCATGGTTCCCTGAATCAGGGTCAACTACTGCAGCTTCTATCTAAGGATCTCAACATGATTAACAAGCAATGAATGAAACTGAGATTTAAGGCACACAACACCTTTCCCCTTGAGATATCAAATGTCTTGCAAATATCAAATATCTCTAGGGGTTTTTTTTTCCAAGTGACCTGGTGGGTGTTTGTCAGGCCTTAACCACACCTACCCTTGAATACAAAGCAAATTTATTGTCTGATCTGTAACAAAGTCAAGGCTGCGATTTTGAAGGAGCATTTTCAGGTTGTTATGCAAACAGTTCCCAAAGGATTTCAATTGGATTTGGGCACCTAAATCCCTCAGGCCGCTTGGAGAATCTCCCCTAAAGGAATATGAGCTTGATCTAAAGCTTATTATATTTCTGAACCAAAGGATGATACTGGAGCACTTAATATATCTCTACAGGCATTTTAAAAAAGTTTTTGAGGGTGGTCTGGAAGAAGAGTTCTCCGCTGCCTGAACTGTGGCCTCTGTGTCTGGAATGATTCAGATCAGATATTTCTTGTCTGCTCTGACAAGGGCCCATCTTGGGAAATTGATGATATCTGAGCTCTACTCTTTGAGGTAGCTTCCTATAATTCTTTATAAATTTGTCATGTTTTGGCCAAAGCAACAAAGGTGACATTCCTTCTTGAAACTCTCATCCTTCAAGCATGTCTCCCCAACAACTCAAGTCATTATGGACCACCCAGGAGCAGGGACTCCTCAAGGGATGGAAGCCATGGCAATCATCAGTATTTGTTGTTTGTTTGCTCCTTCCTAAACAAACACTGAAAGTTTTGTGTTGCTTTGTAAAACAGTACATAAAAAGTTATGGACATGTTATCTAATGGAGATCTCTCCTAAATATTTTCTTTATAGACATTAAGGATTTTGATGTTTTAATCATTGGAGCCAATAAAGCTTGTGGCAAGAGTTTGCAGAAGAAGGCCCTAATACGATGGCCTTTATTCATCAGACTCCATCTTCCTGTGATGTATTCAAAAAATCTTGATTGTAACTAAGCAGTTAGCATGCTAAGTCTACTTCCTATTAGCCAGACTTAATGTTCCCCCATCAGTCTGCATCTACCTGTGCTGTGCCTTGTTACATACTTAGATTGTACAGTCCTTTGGACAGGGTTAGTCTTTTTGTTCGGTGTTGGTATGGCAAGCCCATGACTAGCTACACTCATTAATACTAGTTTGTATACTTCATTTTGTAGGAAAGGTGCTGAATATTCTCAAGCCCCATTGAACTGTGTGAGAAATTAAGATGTTCAGTAACTAACAAGACAAACCTGAAGCAATACTAATTACTTGATACTTAATGAGATGTGCCCTGGAATTTGATGACAAACTGACCGCAGGATCCATTGTTTCCTGATAGATTATCAAAGCATATTATTACTCCCTCAGAGACCTATTTTTTCATTTTGTTGAGCATGAAAGCAAGTAATCCAAAATGTTCTGAGAATACAGGTCGTGCCTTTGACAGTAAACTTTAGTAACACCAACTTTCATAAAATACTCTAAATGTACATTTTTAAAACTGCACATGTTATTGTGGGCTATTTTTACAATTTATTGCCCTGACAGCACATGGCGGGGGAGAGAGACTAAGAATGTAGGCTGCATTTTTCCATGCTATATTTAAGGTAATATCTAGATTCCAATGAAGTTACTTAAGACTTTTGTTTCTGATTGGGAAAATAGTCCCAACTTTATTACAGGGATTTTTTTTCTCTCTCTCTTCCTGTACTTTCTGCAGACTATTTATTGAATGTACAGCAAAATTATGAAAAAGAGTTCCCGCAATAAAAAATGCATTATGGGCATAATTCTAACCTGTCTACACTATGGGTTAGAAATGCACAGTTTACATTTGCTTTGGAAAAACCCAGAAGAAAATTCAACTTAAAAAAAATAAAAACACTTTATTTCCCCCCATAAAAATGTCCATTTCACCATAAAGCCTCGGTGAACATTTTTCAGCTAATCTGGAATACCACCCAAGAGTATTGCATCCCAGCAGCTGTGTCTACATGAGACACTGACTGTGCATTTGTTACTGTGCAGTCATTTAGTACTTGCATACCGAAGTAATCAATAACTGCAGAGTAACTGGAGCTACTGCGACTACTGGAGCTACTACTCCGGCCACAGTAACTGGAGCCATGCAGCCATCTCTGCATGGCTCCCTGGTGATGCTGACTGTGCAGTAGCTCATTACTACTGAGCAGAAGTGTCACATCACGGTTTGTGCTGCGGGATGCTACTGCGCAGTAGTAGTGAGTTACTGTGCAATTAGTGTCTTGTGTTGATGTGCCCAGTTAATGTAAAGAAAACACAATCTGTTAATATTTTGCTTTCCCAAAGAGGTGTTTTCAAAAGGCTATAGATGTGAGAAGACATA